TCCCAGACATGCCACCTCTTGGGGGAGACCCCACCTCAATTGGACCCACACAGCTGAAGGATGTGGAGCTTGTCAGGAGCCAAATGAGGGGCCGGGGTGATAGTACAGTGGGGAGGGCGTTTCCCTGGCACGCAGTCGACCCGGGTTCGATCCCCGGCATCCCATATGGTCCCCCTGATTCCCGCCAGGAGTGATTCCTGGGTGCAGAGCTAAGAGTAACCCCTGAGCATTGCCGGGTGTGGTCAAAATAGGCCAAAAAAAGAGAAAAGAAAAGCAGAATGGGGGTGCGAGAGTGGAGAGAGAGGACAGTGGGGAGGGCGTTTTGTTTGCCTTGCATGCGGCCAACCTGCACCCCTCCGGTCCCCCGAGCACCTCCAGGAGTGAGCCCTGAGTGCAGAGCCAGGAGTGGGTCCTGAGCACCGCCGGGCGTGGCCCCAAAACCAAAATGCATGAATGAATGATCAGCAGAATGGGGGACACATGCAGTGGAGGATTAGGGGGTGCATGGGCGGATATAGCATGGCACATGCAGTGAGTGGGGTCCCCGGAGGCAGGGTCCTGGGTCCCGTGGGGAGACCGAGGAACAAAGGCTGGCTGAAGGCGCACATCAGGTGGGGGCCGGGGTGGGGTCCACCAGTCAGGGCTGCCAGCCGCAGCCTCCAAGGTGTGGGTCAGGCCTCATCTGCTATGCAGGCCGGGCGCCCACTCCGTGTGTGTGTGTGGGGGGGCACATAGGGGCGCTGCCTTTCACCCCCTCTCCTCCACAGACCCCAGAGGGGGAACCTGCAGCAAACCCTACACCCCAAAGAGAAATCCCTAAGCAGCATGGAGGGGCTGGGCCCCCCAAACGCCTGAGTGAAGAGATTCATTGCCCCGCCCCCGAAAAAAAAATCATCATTTTCCAAACCCCCATTAGCTCTGGCAGTAAAGCAGACGTCCTCTGGGGCCAGAGCGATAGTCCAGCGGGGAGGGCGCTTGCCCTGCTCGCAGCCGACCAGGTTTTGATCCCTGGCACCCCAGAGGGTTCCCCGAACACTGCCAGGAGTGATTTCTGAGTGCAGGGCCAGTATCAGCCCTGAGCATCGCCGGGTGTGGCCCCCCCAAAAAAAAAGTCCTTTGGGTCTAAGAGACAATACAGCAAGAGGGGACCTGCTTTGTACCTGACTAACCGGGATTCAATCCCCAGCACCCTATAGGGTCCCCCAAGCCTGAGCACAGAGTCAGGAGTTAGCCCTGAGCACCCAGGGGTGTGGCCCTGAAAGTTAAAAAAAAAAAAAAAAGGAAAGCTTCCTTTATTCATGACCCAGAAGAGCCTTTGGAGTGGGATGGGGGGCATGTGGGGTCAAGCCTGCCCCCCTGTCCAGACTGTGCCTCGCCCATCCCCCCCCAGACTCAGTTTCTCTATCTGTGATCACAGTCACCCGGGAGGGTCCAGGGTGAGGAGACCCGGACTGCGGGCAGGAAGGGTTTCCCTGCGGGAGCCCCCCGGCACACTAAAAGACCCCCAGCATCAGGACCGGAGGGATGGCAGGAAGTGTGGCCCCCTCCGGAGAAGGTGGCGGGGTCTCAGCTCGGCACCCTCACTGGCCGCCATCTTGTGGCAGAACCATTCCTGCCGCTGTAGACTGGGGGACCCGGCAGCCCGAACCCCCTCATGGTCACCCCCAAGCATCACCTCTATTTCCCTCTCTGTCCGGGAGACCCCCCGTACCCCGCCAGCCCAGCCAAGAGCCAAACAGCCCGTTTTCACATACCCCATCTCCAGGACCCACAGGGCCCCCCCAAATCTCACCCTGTACCCCAGCAGCTCCCAGATCTGCTAGGAAGGTCCCATAAGGGTCCCCCAAGACAGATGAGGGGTCTCTCTTCACACAAAACCCTCCCTCGGTACCTGGTCTGGCTGCTTCAAAGCCATCCCCCCTCCCACCCTGGAAGAAGCCGGACAGAGAGGGGACGCCGTGGGGACAGGGGTGACCCCGCACCTTCACCCCCGGGACGGTCTCCTTGAGTCCCCGTTTCTGGCTGCTGGCTTGGGGGGGGCAGGAATGCTGCAGGGTGCGGCGTCCCTGAGCCGCTGCGGGGCCGGGGGGCTGCCAAGCCCAGGGCACCCCCAGTCACATGGGCCCGGCTGGGTGCATAAGGCTTCAGTGTGGGGTGCGGGGGGGCTTTGGCGAGAGCAAGATGGGGACTCATCCCTCCCTTTGCGGGGACCCACCTGGTGGAGGGAACGGAGAAGAATGCGGGGGGATGGGGGGAGGCGTTCCAGGCTGTCCCCACACCGGAAAGCCGAACACAGATGCAGACACACATGCGCCCCGCCTGCCTGCACCCCCAGGTTCCACACACACACACACACACACACACACACACACACACATACATGCGCACGCGTGCCAGCCTGCCGTGGCTGCCACACGCCTCGGGCTGGCCAGCGCACCCCGCCCGGCGCCCCTGCATATGGTGGGCGAGAACCCACAGCGACCCGCCACAGGAGACCCCCGGATTTGGGGACGGGGTACCCGGGGTCGTGCACCTGCAGCGTCTCCTCGCCTCCCCCCCTGGCCCGCTCGGGTCCCCCCCGCAGGCTGGTCCAGGAGGGACCCCCCCCAACACACACACACACATATACACACACACACACACCAGCAAGCTGGGAGCAGGCTCAGAGAGGTCGAGTGGCTTGTTGGGCTCTTTCAACGGGGGTCAGGTGGACAGACACCGTGGGCAGGGCAGGGGTCTGTTCGTTCGCGGGGACCCCACCCTGCGGCCGCAGATGGGTGCGGGGCTCCCCGGCGAAGTCCCGTAGGCAAAGCTGAAGCAGCGGGGATCACAATTGAGGGAATCCACCGCATACTTATGACCTGGCGCAGGTACCGGGCGGAGGCGGCGAGGGGGTGGCCGGGCCCCCCTCCGACCCCCGATCGTGTCCATCTGCGGCTCTTCCACCGCCGATCCCCTTTGTGAACGCCCCTCTCCGGCACGGACCCCGTCCCCAGCCCTCCCCCCCATCTCTGCGGCAGCCACCATGCGCCCCAGGCCTCTCTCTTCCCGCTGCCCGGGGACGCCCTCCGCCCCGTGCCCGTCCCTCAAGACACCCGGCCCCACACACCGTCACCCGGGATTCAACACGAACACAGTTAAGCCCGGCGGGCCCCCCGACACTCCCGGAGGGTGCTCCGGCCACAGAGACCCCTGGGGCGTATCTGCATGTCCCCCCCCCCACTCAAAGCCCCAGCGATGACGAATGTCGCCTCAATTCTGGGTGAGTTGCTGGATCTACACGGCTCCCCCAGATTCCGGGGCCGGGAGCCAGTGCACAGGGTGGTCACCCCTCAGCTGGGACAGCCCAGAGTCTGGAGGAGGAGGCAGGGAGGCCAGGGAGAGGTGCTTGTGGTCAGGTCACAGCAACTGGTGGTGGCCCCAGCTGGGCTGGGGGGGGGTGGGGGCCGGGGGGGTGCCTCCTTCCCGGGGGCGTCGGGCTCTTGTCCCAGTCCAGGGGCACGAGGGCAGGAGCCGGCACCCCACCAGGACCCTGGTCTGTCCCCCATCCAGGTTCCTCACACACTTGACGTTCTGCTAGAACAAAGGGACCAGCCACGCTGGGGACTGGAGGTCCAGAAGCTGAAACCAAAAACTTGGGTCGGAAAGCGCTGTCCGCCCCAGCGCCCGGCTTGGCCGCAGGGAAGCGCCTTAATCAAAGCCACATGTGACCAGTGGGGCGGGCGACGACGCGGGAACCGGCTTCTTGGCGGTGGCCTGACCGTGTCCCTCAGCGGTCCAAGGTCCCTGCCCTCAGCCCCCCAACCCCACAGTCGAATCCCTGAAAGGGATGTTGGGGGGGTGTCTGGGCACTGTCCCTGCCCCCCACGGCAGGACACTGGCCGCCCTTGTCCCCGAGCCTGTCTCAAAGGCAGGTCTTTATGCAACTTTCCGGCCACGCGCGGCCCGAGGACAGCGGGGGACAACGGGGGGGACGGCGGGCTCCTGGGACTGGCTCGGCCGTTGCTGGCAAACGTTGACCCGTGGTGGTGGGGGGGCTCAGTACGGCCCAGATAGTTTGGGGAAGCTGTGTGACACCCCCTCCCAGTGTCTGGGCTGACCCCAGAGTTCCAGGACTGACCCATCTCCCACCGGGTCCCCCTCTAGCCGCGCCAGCCCACTTTGGCCTTGGAGACCAGGAACGGTCCAAACGCTTCTCCTGGGGTCTCCAGCGGTCAGTCTGCAGCAAACTTTTCGCACTGGACAAACGGGGGCTTCTGATAACCCACCCCCCACACTCAAATTGTGCCCGGCGGCCGACATGCCGCTGGGCGGCACCTCTGGTCACGGCGAGCCCTGGCGGGGGAACACCTGGGTCCCTGCCCCAGCTCTGTACTCCCTGGTGTGACCTTGAGCCGCGGCTCGGGGCCCCCTCCCCACACCTCAGTTTCCCCAGCAGCACCAAGAGGCCAGGAGCGTGCGACCGGCTCCAAGTGATGGGGCTCCCGCACACGAGTACCTCACCTCCCTACATCCTCACAAAGCGGTCCCCCCGGGACGACGGTGGACGTGGTCCACGGGGAGAAGCGGGGAACTTCCCCAAGTTCACGGGCGGGGTGGGGGACCCCCTCGGCAGGCGGCAGACACCCCGTCCCCGGGGGGCCTCTGTCCCGCACCTCCAGGTGCCGCTCGCCACGGAGTCCCGGGGGGATCCCCGGCAACTCGGAAGCGTGCACGGCGTCCCCGGGGAGGCCCGGGGACCCCGGGGAGCGGCGGGGGGGGGTCCCCCAAGTCCTGGGAGGGAACTCGCGGGCGCCGGCGGGGGGGCTCTCCCAGCTGCCAGACAGCTGCCTGCGCGGGTGGGGCGGGGGCGCGCCGGAGCGAGCCCCGCAAGTGCGCCCGGCCGGCCGGGGGTGGGTGCCCCGCAGGGCGCGGGGCGCGGGGCGCGGGCGGCCCCGGGTCCGGGCGGGCGCGGAGGCCGGGCGCGGGCGCGGGGCGCGGGGGTCCCCGGGCGCGCTCACCTGGGGTTGCTGCGGTTCCAGTAGACGGCGTGGCGGTCGGCGTTGGCGCGGGCCCCGTCGTCGGCGCGCGCGCAGGGCGGCGGCGGCAGCAGCAGGAGCAGCAGCGGGAGCAGCGGGCGCTGCGCGGGCGCCATCGCCCCGGTCCGGCCGCCGCGCTCGCCTGGCCGCCGCCTGCCAGGCGTCTCCGCCTCCTCCGCCGCCGCCGCCGCCGAGCGGGCGCGGGGCGGGCGCGCGGGGCGGGCGCGGGGCGGGCGCGGCGGCGCTTGGAGATCCCGGGCCGCCCCCGCCTGGGCGCGCGCGACCTCGGGCGCCGAGAAATCGGGCGGCGGCGGCGGCGGCGGCGGCGGGGCGGGGCGCGCCCCCCGCACCGGCCCACCTCCCCCCCCAGCCCGCACCCCCCTCCCTCCCCGCAACCCCGGTCCGTGGAGGCTCGCGGCCACTCTCGGATCGGAGCCGGGGAGGGGCCGGGGCTCCGGCCTTTGTCCCGCCCGAGCTCCGGGCGGGCCGCGGGCGCCCCCTCCTGCCTCGCCCGGGCCGTGCGGGGGCTGCGCTGGGGGGTCTCCTTCTCGCCCCCTCGGCCCCCGCATCCCAGATTTAGCCCCCGCACTGAGTGGGGCCACCTGGATCGCCGCCGCCACCTCCCCCCCGCCCCGGGTGCGGTCCCCAGCCGCCCCCGGTTCTGCAGGGCGGTCCGCATCGGAGGCAGCCTGAACCGGGGGTCCCCGGGACCTGTCCCGCCCGGTCACCGGCAAGCCCACTCCGGCCACCTCATCCGCCCTCCTGCAAACGTAGTCTCTCCCCACCCCACCACGCGCAGTTTTACACTCTGCCAAGCTCAGTGCTCCCCCCGCCCCACCGCTGCTCCTCCCTGGGGTGCAACAAGGTAGATTCCCACCTGGGAACTGGGAGGTCCCCCCTCAGCCACGCCACCACGGGAGTGGGGCAAACAGGAGGCGCCTAATTGGTGCCGAGAGCGCACAGGTCAGGGCCGGCTCTGAGACGCTGGTGGGCAGCTCCCCAGAGTGGGCCGGGCTGGGGAGGAATAGTACAACACCTCAAAGTGTGCAAATTAGGCAAATTAGGGTGTCCCCATCTTTCTGCCTCTTCCAAGTCACCCACTGTTGGCTGGGCCTGACTCAGTGACCCACACCCAGTGCTCCCTGAGTGAAGGCTGGACAAAGTGGACAAAGCAAGCTTTTTTGGGGTGGAGGTTGTCGGGGACCATCACCAGTGGTGCTCAGGGGCTACTCCTGGCTGGGTGCACAGGAGGGACCCCTAATGGCACTGAACAGGGAATTGGGGTCGGCCCCCCATGAAACCAGTCCGTGCCTCCACGGCCTGTCTTCTCTCTCTGGCTCTAACAGAGCAACCTCCATTTCAACAGGAAGGGCTTGGCAGATGGAGGCATCTGGGGTCACACACCTCTGACCTGTGTATCCCCCCCTTGCCTCTTCCCCCCCCACCCCACGTTCTCTTCCTGAAATCCAGCCGGGCCTGACTAGTTCCTGCCTGGATAAGCTTCCCCATCTCACGGGGCCAGCCACAGGACAAGGGGCAGAGCGCTTGCTTCAAACCCATCCAACCTGAGTTCAATCCCGGCACCCCAGAGGCCTCCCTGAGCGCCACCAGAAATGACCCCCAAGCACTGAGCTAGGAGTAAAAACCTGAGCATTGCTGGGCTATGAATGCCACCAAAAAAAAAAAAAATTCCCCTCAGCTCTCCAGGGAGCTCAACCCATTCCTCAGCGCTGTGACTTCCAAGACTGGGACCACCCCCCTCCCAAGTCTGTGGTTCTAGGGGGCAGGAATCTGCAGCCAGCGGCAGCCCCCCGGGAGTGGACAGGGCCTGGAATTAGGGGTTCCAGTCACACCCGGCCGGGCGTCCTGCCTTCCCAGGGAGGCGCAGCTGACCTGAGGGGCCCTCATCCAGGGGAGGGGGCAGTGGTATCTGTCCTGCCCTGCCAGCAGGGATGATGAGCGTGGCGAGGGGCGCGGGCGGAGGGGACAACGAGCCAGCGACACAGGCCTCATTTGCATGCAGGGGCCACCAAGGCACACTGCCACCGCCAAAGAGGATTTCGGCGGCCTCCTCTTCCTTCTGTTCTTGTCTCTCTCTCAAGGTCAGAGCCGGAGCAGGGACGGGAACAAAGGAGGCACGTCCCCCATTCAACCTCCCTGTGCCCGCCGGCCAGAGGAGCCCCCCCCAGAAAAGGGGAGGGCAGGAAGCGGAGGCCTGGCTGGGAACCAGGCAGGGTGGGGTGCAGGTCTAGAGGCTCAGCGGGCGGAGGGACCCCTGCAGGCCTCCCCGGGGGCCCTGGGGGTCCAGCCTACAGCCTACAGACCCGCAGAGGGGGTCCCCCTTGGGGTCAGGGGTCATCCCCCAGTTAGTTTGCCTTGGGAGTTGGCACCAGAGATCAAGGTGTGCTGGGCGTCAGGGGTGATCAGGTTCGACTGTCCATCCCCAGGCTAGCCCCAGGCTAGGGGTTTGGGCCCAGACTTGGAATGAATGATCTGGGTTAGCCTGTGCCCAGCTAAGGCTGGCACAGAACGGCTTAGCCCCTGCATCCTGGTGACCTAGCCCTCCCCAACCTCCAAGGATGGCAGCTTCCACCCCGCCAACACACACACCTGCAGGGCGAGTGCCCAGGGCTCTCGGGATCAGCATCTAGCACCCCCCCCCCCATCTTCAAAAGCTGCGCCAAGGCCACGGAGGAAGCGAAATGTATGCGGGCAGAAATTTCTCATTACAGATGAAAGGGGACCCAGAGCTCCAGCTCCGGCGGAGTTTTAGAAGCCCCGAGTCGGCCTGCAGGCATTGGAGGGCACCAGCCTGCCCACCCCTAGTGGCCGCGTGGGGGGGGGGGGTATCTCCTTGAGGGCAGGGATCCAGGGGGGGCAGGGGAGTGTAGGACCGGCTCCTCCATCTCCCACCCCTGCTGGCACCGGCTGGGGGCATGTCCAGAAGAGGAAAAAGGAGACTGTGTCTCTGGTGGATGAAGCAGAATTTCCTTCCTGGGGCACCTCAGCTTTTTGGCTCAGGCCTGAGCCCCACCGAGGTAGAACCCATGTTGGGGTTGTGCTCCTTACCACCTTCCTTCCTTCATACCTGCCTCCTCCTCCTTCTCCCCTTCTCCCTGATCTGACCCCTCCACCCGATGATGTTCAGGCCACTTCCCTGGGACTGGGGGCATAGGCATGATGCGGTCCAGGAGCTGGTCCGGGGTGCTGAGTGCTATGGCCCGCGTGGGGCAGGATTCATTTCCCTCCTGATGCTCCCAGGGAACTGAGCGAGCTAGGGGCTGGTTCCCTGGCCACACCTCGTGGTGATCAGGAGCAAAGAGGTCCACATTTGGTGGAGGGGGCGATTGTTTCTGGGACACACCCAAAGGTGCTCAGGGTAGGGGCTGGAGCCATAGCACAGCGGGTAGGGCATTTGCCTTGCATGCAGCCGACCCAGGTTCGATTCCCAGCATCCCATATGGTTCCCTGAGCACTGCCAGGAGTAATTCCTGAGTGCAGAGCCAGGAGTAACCCCTGTGCATCGCTGGGTGTGACCCAAAAAGGAAAAAAAAAAAGGTGCTCAGGATTGACACCTGGCTCTGCGCTCAGGGATGACTCCTGGCAGGCTTGGGGGACCTATGGGATGCCAGGGATCCAGCCTGGGTGGGCTGCATGCAAGGCTTCCACACTGTACTGTCTCTCAGCCCTCCACATCGACAGGGCATGTGAATGGGATGCTGCGGATGAGCCCTAAGGTGGGGGTAGATTCAGGAGCGGGAAAGCCAACTACTGGAGGCCATATCGCCATATGATATATGTGGTCTCGCCATACCACTATCGCCATATCTGCTATACCATCACTCGGCTTCTTGAATGAGCCCTGGGGTCCTCACTTTACAGCAGAACACTAATTTTTTTTGGCCACATTTGGTTACTCCTGGTTTTGCATTCAGGAATCACTTCTGGCGGTGCTCAGGGAACCCTATGGATGGAACTTGGGTCAGCCGCATGCAAGACAAGTGCCCTGTACTATCGCTTTGGCTCCGGGAACACTTTTTTTCTTTCTTTCTTTTTTTTTTTTTTTTTTGCTTTTGGGTCACACCCGGCGTGGCACAGGGTTACTCCTGGCTCTGCACTCAGGAATTACTCCTGGAGGTGCCGGGGACCAAATAGGATGCTGGGAATCGAACCCGGGTCAGCCACGTGCAAGGCAAACGCCCTACCCGCTGCGCTATCACTCCAGCCCCTGGCCCCAGGAACACTCTTACAGGGGTGCACCAACTATTGGAGATCCCAACCAGCCACCAGGACCCCAGACTGGAGAAGGGGTGGGCGGAGCCTTTGGTGGGCGGGGCTGGAATGGGCGTGGTTGCGTATGGGCGTGGTCTTGGATGGGCGGGTTCTTAGACAGGTGAAGGGAGGGGCCTATAGGTGGGTGGGCGGGTCCTTTGTGGGCGGGGCCTGGAGATAGGCGGTGCCCTGGGGGCGGTGTCTTGAGTGGGCGGAGCTCCGCGGAAACCTGCACGGGGCTGGGGCCGGGGCCGGCGCGACGACCCGGTGCCCCGCACACACGCTCGTCCCAAGAGCATCCCGTTTGGCCAGGCGGCCCCAGCGGGTGCTTTCGTGTGCGGGGCCGTGCGCGGGGGGCTGAGAGGTGCAGGAAGCGCCCTCCCCCGAGCGGCTCGGGCGGCCCCCACACCTTCCTTTCATCTGGCGCGGACAGACCCCTCTTCGGGGCTCTCAGCCCTGAGGACTTCCTGCTAATCGTGCATTAACCTTGGCGGGGCCGCCCATTACTCGGCTCTAATGCAGGGGGGGGCCGCTCGCGGGGGCGGCCGGGCTGGGGGGCAGCCGCGCGTCCCCGGCTCCGGATGGCGAGAGCGGGTCTCTCCTGACCTCATTAGAGTAATTAATGTGCCTTTTGAAGCCGGAGAAAGCGCTCAGAGCTGTGGGAAAGGGGCGCGGATCACAGGCGGGGGGGCAGGAACGGTGCCTGCGCGCCTGTTAAAAGCGGGTCCCAGTGGGTCAGCGCGGGAGAGACAGACGGAAACGAGGGTGTGTGTGGGGGGGGGGGGGCGGTGAGACCGAGCGAGAGGGGAGGCGGCTGAGAGGTAGTGCAAACAGGGAGCCTCAGAAAACTGCAGAGACCTGGTGTATGTGTGTGGTGGGAGTGAACAGGAGAGCCAGAGGAAGCTAGCAGGGGTGTGTCCGGGGAGAGGGGTGCTCTGGTCTAACTCCGATAAGCGTCCCATGGGAAGAATAGGGTGTTCCACGAGACACAGAGGGCTTTCTGGGGGAGGCAGCTGGGCACTGGAGGGGGAACGGCAGTAAAAGTACGGGGGAGGTGGCGCCGTAGTGCACCGGGGAGGGCATTTGCCTTGCACATGTCTGACCCAGATTGGATCCTGGACCCCATATGATCGCCTGAGCCTGCCCAGAGTGATCCCTGAACAAGGAGCCAGGAGTAAGTCCTGAGCACCGCGGGGTGTCGCCCCAAGACCAGTTTTTGGGGGACACGCAAGGAAGTAGTTAGGGAAGGAGCCCAGGGCATCCCAGTTGGAGCAGCGGTGACCAGCTGAGACCTCTGGTCTGCAGGTGGCTGGGCCTGTGGATCTCAGGGGCGGAAGGGTGTTAATGGGCATAATGTAATCCCCGTTTAGACAGGTGGGGCCCCCAGTGGCACAGGCTTATCCTGGATACCCTAGGGTGGCCGGTGGGGAGTCAGGCCACACCCACCCGCAGGCCCGCAGGGCAGAGGGCGGTGGTGCGCGGCTGCCACCTGGTGGCAGTCCCCCCTCATGACAGGCCGAGGTGGCTGTGACCAGGAGTCCCCCGGGGCAGCCTGTCTCCATCACCCCCAGTGCGGGCTGTGCACGTGTGATCTGGGCTCTGCCCTGATACCATGTCTAAATAAGGGAAGTAGGTACCAGCAAACTTTTGGGTAGGGGAGGCAGTGCCCAGGATTGAGTTCATTAGTTATTCCAGTTCCAGCTTCCCTATAGTCTCTCATAAGGAAAACAGAAACCAGCAAACAACTTTTTTTTTTTTTTGCTTTTTGGGTCACACCCGGTGATGCACAGGGGTTACTCCTGGCTCTGCACTCAAGAATTATTCCTGGCGGTGCTCAAGGGACCATATGGGATGCTGGGAATCGAACCCAGGTCGGCCACGTGCAAGGCAAATGCCCTACCCGCTGTGCTATCTCTCCAGCCCCAGAAACCAGCAAACTCTTTGGGGGTCGGGCAGTGCCCAGGATGGGGTTCATCAGTTATTCCAGTTCCGGCCTCCCTATAGTCTTGGGCGTTTCTGGAAGCAACCCCCAACCCACTGGTGGGGTGAGCTGGGGTCCCGCAGGAGAATGCCCTGGGGGCTTCCAGGCTGAAAGTGGCATAGGATTTGTGGATAGACATTTCCAGGAGCTGGTAAGAATTAGTTTTCCCTTGCTCTGAGGCCATGAGTGGCAGACAGGGGCAAGCTTCCTGCTCTTCTCTATTTACTGTGTAAGACTCCTCCCCTGACCCCCTGGTCAGCTATGCAGAGGCCAACACAGCCCTGCTCTGCCGGGTGCGCAGGCACACGTGCACAGGGACACGTCCGTACAGGAGCAACCACGCGCACAAATCCACCGCATTGCACCCTGCACAAGGTTCAGAGTCCAGGAGGAGGTGGGGCCAGGTTCAGAGTCATGGCTGTCTTTATTGTCCCAAGCCCCATGAGAGTAAGTCCCAGACACACCGCTCAGTTCCACGAAGGTGACCAGGGGGTCCCTCCGGCTCCCCCCACGATATCAGGGGGACAGTGCTCTTCTATGAAGGCCGCTCCTTTCCCAGGGCCCCCGGGAAGTTCTAAGGCTGGCCGGGGCATGTGTTCTCCTCCTCCGTACTGCTGCAAAAGCTGCTTCCCGGATCTCAGCTTCTGGAAGGTGAAGGCAGCGGTTTGAGTGTGGTGGACCTTCCACCCCAACCTCCCTCACTGGGCAGAGGGGGAGCTCCCAACCAGGGGTGTGGAAGACCCCCCCCCACCAGATCACAGCAATGATGCCCTCCACGCTTGGGCTATGGGACGTGAGCCCTGGGCCTCGGCCTCCTTGCCCTCTCCCCACGCCCCACGAACTAGCTTCAGGGTTTCGTGTGGGGTCTTGTGACCTTGGAGCTGCAGTCCTTTATTTTTTCCCCCCACTCTTTGGGTCATACCCGGCAATACACAGGGGTTACTGCTGGCTATGCATTCAGGAATTACTCCTGGCGGTGCTCAGGGGACCCTATCGGATGCTGGGGATTGAATCCAGGTCGGCCGCGTGGAGAGCAAACGCCTTACCCGCTGAACTATCGCTCCAGCCCCCGCAGTCTTTACCCAGCTCAAGGAATGGGGAGATTGAGAGGGGGCTGAGGTGTCCTGCCACCCCCGCGTTGCCACCCCCCCGCCCCCCATCCCGCCCTACCATCTCAGATTGCGGGTCTCAAAGAGCGTCTCCTCATCGCTGTCCAGCGAGGCCGTGTCCGTGGTCTCCTCTAGGAGGCCGTATCGCCGCCGCTGAGGCTTCTTTAACCTGGAAGCAATCAGACCAATTGGGGGGCGCCACGCTGCCCTCTCTCCGCGGGGCTCCTGGGGGCCTCTTTAGACATGTGAATCCTACGTGGTCACCGGGGTGCTTAGCTACCCTAGTACCTGCACCAGAGGTGAGGTGGGCCGGGAATCCATGCTGCCGATGAAAGAGGGGTGTCAGGGCCATGGCACCCCGATGCACTCTGCCCCCAAGGCCCCGTTCCTGACCAGAGACCACCCGCACCCTGGTACTAACGGAGCCAACCTGGCACCATTAGGGTGGGTCACTGGGGATGGGAGTCCCCCACGCGAAAGGCAGCTCCTCCGGGTCCTGGGGAGCCAGACTGGGGCGGCGGTTGGGCCGTCCAGGGGAGCGGGCCAGGTCGAGTGACGCAGCAGCGTGCAGGCAGAACCGGGTTCGGTGGCCTCAGTGCCGGGTGTGTGTGTGTGTGTGTGTGTGTGTGTAACCGTTGGGCCTCAGGGCCAGTGTGTGTGTGTGTGTGTGTGTGTGTGTGTGTGTGTAACCGTTGGGCCTCAGGGCCGGTGTGTGTGCGCGCGCGTGCGGGTGTGTGTGTGTGTATGTGACCGTTGGGCCTCAGGGCCGGTGTGTGTGTGTGTGTGTGTGTGTGTGTGAGACCGTTGGGCCTCAGGGCCGGCGAGCGGCCGCCTGGGACAGAGACTCGCTGGGGGAGCGCAGAGTGATGCTGGTCCTAACACAGCGGTACCCAGCACGGAAACCGCGCTTCCGATTCGGCCCCGCTAAGCCCCGCCCAGAATACCCGCCCGCATCCAATCACCGGGATCGAGCGCGCAGCGATCCGGAGCCGCGCGCTGATTGGCCGGCGCGCGCTGACGCACCTGAAGGCCCGGATGAGGAAGTAGAGCGCGGCCAGAACGGTGAAGCCCGTGAGCACGTACAAGGAGCGGCGCAGTGCCGGCCCGTACGTGCCCGGCGCCCGCAGCGACGTGCTGTTGTGCGGCGTGCCCGGCACGCTCCCGTTTGTCGCGGCGGGCGACGGCGGCGCGGGCGCGAGCTCCCCGGCCTCGCTCAGCAGCGCGCACAAAAGCAGTAGCGGGAGCGGCGTCGGCAGCGCGCGCGGCCCCATAGCGCGGCGGAAGAGGTGGCGGAGCCCGCCCCCCGCGCCTGCCACTCACTGCCGGGGCGGGGCCGCCGGGCCAAGGGGCGGGGCCCGTGCCCCAGGGGCCGCCCTGCGCAGGCGCGCGCACCCGGCCCCGCCCCAGCGAGCGCGGTTCCCAGGCAGGCCACGCCCACCCGCCCCAGGCCTGCAGGAGGCAAATGAAGAACCCAGGCGAGTCCAGTCACTGCCAGGGCTCCGCCAGGGCCCCGATGTGCTCTCCTGCAGCTGAGCGGGCTCTGGACAACTCCGAAGCCCCTTCCTGTCCCCGCCCCCCCCCCAAACCTCTGCAACCCCTCGAAAACCAGACTCAGATTTCTGGGTAGACACACCAGCCCTTTATTCAAATCCCACTTGCACATCTGGTCATGGAAGGGGGCGAGGACCAGCCAGCCACCAGCTGCCACCCGGCGCCTGGTTCCTGGCGACGCCTCTTAAGGTCAGGCCTCAGGATCAAGCACCTGCTGGAGACATGAGGAGGGTCAAGGTGGCACTGAGAGAAGGGATCCCGCTGATGAGTCGGGGGCTGTCGGGTCCCCAGGAAGCACTCACAGGTCCTGCTGCAAGAAGTGGCCACGCCTCAAGCTCTGGCTCAGAGCTGTCCGCCCTCCAGGGACGGTGACCTCAGGTCAGTGCCATGCTCTGTGAACACCTTTCCCAGCAGGGCTTCCTTCCTTTCAACCTGCCAAAGCAAATAAGTGTTACCAGGACAGCCCGGGTGTGCCTTGAGACTGCCCCTCCCGGCCTCCCCCAAACCATCCACAGCTCCTAGGAGGGTTTCAAGCTAGTGATCGGGCCTTCCTGGCAGAGAGGCCTGCCAGAGTGGTTAGTCCGCCGGGTCAGGCCCCATCCGGCTGTCAGCAGTGCCAGCGGCCAACACGGGCTGGAGCTGCTTAAAGCCGGGTGGGAGGCGCTGGGAAAAACCATGGCAGCAACAGACATCAGAGCGAGCTACAGGTCAGAGTTAAGACTTGAGGTCTGTGAGACTGTCAGCGGATGAACAAAAATCTCCCCGAGGCTGGGCGACCGGGTTTCCAGTCCTGCTGATGGATCGAACCTTACTCAAGAAGAGCAACGGGGCACCTGGCCACAGGTGGGGAGGCACCGCCGGCCAGGGCTGGACACTTTTGAGTTCTAGCTGGATAGGTTAAAAAGGGGGAGAAAAAAAAAAAAAAACAGGAAAAAACGGAAAAGTAGACACCAGTCACAGGACCATTCCACTCCCCGGGCACATTACTTTACTTTCAAATGATCTCTCGAGAGAAGGGATGCGGACACGAGCAAAGGTTGTTACCTCAATTACAGGGCTAGCTCCGCATACGAGCTAGCCAGGGGGCAGCTTGCGTCTCAGAGGGCTGTTGGGCGTACAACACTTCTGTCCTCCGAGGGCTGCGGCTTCCAAAGGCTAGCAGAGAACCTCAGAACTCATCAAGCAACAAGCAGAGCTAGCTACCGAGCCGGCGAGTGCACGTGGGCCAGCCCCTACCTACGTTGGTTGGGTCCGCGGCAGGGGCCTGCCCGCCCCGTCGAGTCCTAACGGCTGCTGCCACCAGAGGTTTCTGGGGGCTGCCCTGTACTCAGTGGCCCGCTCCCATCACCCACCGCCTGATGAGCCACCCAGGGCCCGTGGCATCTGACTCTGCCTTCCTGGCCAGCCAGGCAGGCAGGGGTCTGGGTGGGCTGCGACCTACTCCTCACTGCCCTTCGCTGCCCGCCGGCAACCTGCAGGCAGGTGTGTTGAGCAATGAAAGGGAATTGTCAGAGCGAGTTCATTTCAAGACGGTCTTTTAATCGGCTTCGTGAAGCCAAAGAAAAATGCGTACAAGAATTCCTTAACCACTTCAAATACAACATCAATGGGACGGCGGATGTCTTCCAGTAAAAAAGAACGATATAAATAAACATGTTCCGGAACTTCGCGGGGATGCCTGCATGGGTGCAGTGGGCCCCAGGCAGCCCCCGCGGCCCTACCACACGCCACTCACACGGCCCTCAGGCCGGCGGGCCAAAGCACAGCGAGCGGGCTGGCTGCGACACAGCGGCCCCAAAGTCCTGCTCCTTTCATGAGTGGGGCGGGCCCCTGGCTTTACGGGCCACCCCCTCAAAAACAAAAAACAAGCAACACAACCCAAACCAGAAACTAAACCCCCAACAACCCCCAGTGATGGTTCACAGAAGAAAAAAAAAAATCAAAACAAAACAAAAAACAAACCAAAAAAAAAACCCAAAAAACCCAAAGGCTCACGGCCAAAACAGAAAAGCCAGAAGTGCTCCCCGAGCCATTTTTGTTTCCAAGCCCTAAAACAGACGGCACTTCTGGCAACGGGGAAGGTCTGGCCTAGCAGCCCCCCCGGGAGGGGGGGTCAGAAGCAGTCAGGCTGTGTTGGACAAGATCGGAACTGAGGCGACTACAAAAGGGGGGTACAAGGAGGTGTGTTCACTACACAGTAACGATTCAGCGGAGCTCCCACACTCTGTAAACACACAGCCATTGGAAGGACGATCTTGAGCAGGAAGGATTTTTACTCGTTGTGTGTAGCTGGGAACAAGAAGCAGGGACAGTGTAAAGGCACTGAAGCGCGCGCACGCCCAGCATTCCACTCCCGGCGGCAGACCTGGAGGGGCCCTGCGGCGTGGGGAACCAACCCCCCGGGGCCGCGGGCCGGCCGGCCGGCGCACATGCACCTAAGCTGCCCTCACTCCCTGCCTTTGCAGTTCCTGGCGGAAACACACGGCGGTGGGGGAGACCCCGGGACGGTCCCGGGCCTCGGAGCAGGCACGGTGACAAAGGTGTGAGCGCTTGGCCACGGTGACGGCTCCCGCGGCAGCGCGCGGCGCAAGGAGCGGGTCTTACCGTAACTGTCGTAGCTGTCCCTGTACGAGCCGCCCGAGCTCCGGTCCCCGTAGCCGCCACCCTGACTCCGGCTGCCAGGAATACACAAGAGGCGCTGCAGGGCAGGGCAGGGCCAAGGCGCCCGCCGCCCCCCCAGCCCCTGGCGCCCGCCCCACCCTCACCTGCTGTAATAGTCTCTGGAGCCTCCGTAGCCTCCGCTCCGGGACTCGAACCGGCTGCCTCCGTAGCCTCTGTCCCCTCCTCCTGTGCACGCCGGAGAGCTCGGATCAGCGTGGCTCCCACCAGGAGCGACCCCCATCTCGTCCCTCCCCTGGTCACTCACCTCTAGTGAAGCCGCGGCCGCGGGCCCGACCCCCACGGAAGAAGCCCCGACCCCCAGCAGAGCCGCCGCGGTAGCCCCGGGATCGGTTGTCGGAGGATTTGCCAGCCTGGTCCACTCGGATCTGCCGGCCGTCCACAGACTGCAGGGCAAAGTCGGGGTTAGGGGGCGGGCCGGCGACCCCCACCCCACCCCCCGCCCTCCGCGCCTGCTCACCTTCCCGTTCATGGCCATCATGGCATCCTTGGCGTCATCGATGTTCTCAAAGGTGACAAACCCAAAGCCCCGCGATCGCTGGGTCTCCCGGTCCTTCACGACCACCACTGCAGGGGGAGCGCGGGACCCGTCAGCGCCCCCACCTCCCGCCAGGCAGGCAGGCAGGCAGCGCCCCCACCGCCCGCCCCAACCCCGGCTCACCTTCCGAGATCTGTCCGTACTTGGAGAAGACCTGCTCGAGGGACTGCTCGTTGGTGTCAAAGCTCAGCCCCCCGACGAAAAGCTTGCCTTCGTCCGATGCCATGGCAGCCTGCAGGCCCGAGAGTCTCCGTCACCGGGACGCCCCGCCGCGCCCGACCACGCGCGCAGCAGCGGCGGCGGCGGGGACACGCTCGGAACACGGCCGGCGGCCCTCCCGGGACCCCGAAAGCAAACTCGGGGGCCGGGGGGATGAGGGGCTGCTCCCAAAACGCCAGCCAGCCCTCCAACTCCTCCCTCGCCCTCGCCGGGCGGGCTGCAGGCCCTCGGCGGTGCAGGGCAGACACGCCCACCATCTGGTACCCAAGCAGCAGCCCGGGCGGACCACGCCCGGCAGACGGGCGCCCCCGGGAAGGGGCATTCGAGCGGGATAGGGTGGGAGGCACCCCCGGCGCTCAGGGACGCCGCACCGCGGTCCTCACTTGCAATCAGGGAGGTTGAGGCTCAACTGAACCGGGAGAGCGCGGGGTGGTGCTTGGTGGACGGGGAGCAGCGGGGCTTTTGCACGGGCCAGGCCTCCGCGAGGACTATGGGGAGGCCGGCCGGGAGGGAGGGAGGCGTCAACTCGGTGGGACTTTGGGGCGCACGGCGGGGCTGGAGGGGAGTGGGGGGCGGTGTTTCCCACCCCCCGGCCCCCTGCCCCCCCACCGCTGCGTGCAACTGAACCGGGCGGCCCCGCCCCCGCGCGCATGCGCCCCGCGCGCGCCCTGCGCCACCGCATCCGGGCATCGGGCGCTCCCGCCATTTCGCGGGACGCAGCCGGGCGCTCGCGGCCGCCATTTTGCAGTGGAGACCCCCGCACACAGCGGGGTCTGGCCTGCGGGGGGAGGGTCGTCGGGAAGAACGCCCGCCGGCCGCGGCTCGGTCCGGTCTCCGGCTGGCCCGCGCCGCCGACGGGGCGGAACTCCACCCCGAGCCCGCCCCGGCGCCGCCCCCGCCCCGAGGGGCGTGCCGCCGCCGCCGCCCCGCTACGGCCCCGACCGGCCGACCACAGGCCGCCCGCCGCCCCGGGCTCGTGGAGCCGGTGCCGCCGGGGCCCTCACCACTGAGTCGGGCAGGTCCCTGACGCAGGCGGGTGGACAGCGAAGCACAACGACCCGAGCCTCCTAACGCGCGAGTGAGAGGGGGTGGGGCCGGCGCCCGCCCTTATGTAGGCTCCCCCTAGGCTCCTCCCACCGGCGCCCGCCTACCGCACGGCTCGGACCAATCCAAAGCTCCGGAGGCTGCAGCCGCGCCTCATATTCATGAGATGGGGGCTGGACTTGTTGAGGCCACGCCCCCCGCCGCGCGCCGCCAGCACCGGGTGTGTTGATTGGTTGCAACCAGCACGAATCGCAGTTCCCCCCCCTCCTGTAGGCGGGGCCGGCCCAAGGGGCGGGGTTGACCCACATCCGCGTGCCCGCCTCCCGGCCTGCGGCGGAGAACAAAGGGGCTTCCACTGTTTCCTGGGGCGGGTGCATCGCTGTACCTAGGCGTTTGCTGTACTCTAATAATCGTCCAAATAGCTTCCATTAGGTTCCCCATCTCCACCCCAGCTCTCAGACACCCCAACTTCAGCACTTCAGCTGAATTCCCGCATGACATTTTTTTTTTTTTCTTTTTGGGTCACACCCGGCGATGCACAGAGGTTACTCCTAGCTCATGCACTCAGGAATTATCCTTGGCGGTGCTCAGGGGACCATATGGGATGCTGGGAATCGAACCTGGGTCGACCGCGTGCAAGGCAAACGCCCTACCCGCTGTGCTATCACTCAGCCTCTGACATTTTTTTTTAACCCCCACCCCAAATACCCCAATGCCAGCAGTTACAAAAGCAACCAAGCTTGACATTGGGGACAACCTGATGTATGCACGCTCCAGTATTCGGCATATCCTATTTCTACGTCCCTCTTGAGAGTATCTCAATTTCGTCCAATCAAATGCACTTACAAAACCGGGGGCACTATTATGCCTGCATCCCACCCAAACACTCCAGTTCTCTCAGTCCCATGCTTTTGAACCATAGGTTGCAGTAGACACTCATCTGGGCTCCCCCATTCCACCAGTGGGGTCAGTTCACATTTCCAGTGTGCCCCAGCCCCAACACGTAGCTTAGCCTTGAGCTATCAGCCCTCTCCAAAGCATCTGATTAGAAGGAGCCCAGTCAAGGCCCACTGGGGACCTTGTAGTTAAGCCACTTGCATCTCCTCTCTCTTGTTTATTTTCAGTGATCACCTTGGGGGGCTGGAAGAGAACTCAAAGGGAACCTGAGCTCCATTCCCCGGCAATGCCTGGGGAGAAGCCCCCTTGGGCGTGACCCCAAAATAAGAAAACAAAATAATTACTGCACTTGTGGCTCTCCAGGGCTGAGCATATGCTCTGTGGGTAGGAGCCCAGCACCTTTGGGCGTAAACCCTCTCCCCACCACGGTATTTCTCTTATTTGTTATTTTCACTTAATGGTGGGGGTCCAGGTCCCTCAGCAGTGCTGGTGGGGTATGGCATCTTATGGGATGTCAGGGATGTAACCCAGATTAGCCAGGTGCAAGTCACGCCCCAATGTGGTATACTATCTCCTCTTTATTTATTTTGGGGTTTTGGACTACACCTGGTGATTTACTCCTGGCTCTGCACTCAGGAATTACTCTCGTCAGTGCTTGGGTCCCTACAGGCAACCAGGGATCGAATAGGCTGGGCTGCATGCAAAGGAAGAACTCAAGACACCGTCCTATCACTCTGTCCCTACCTTCTCTTTTATTTATTTATTCTGGGGGGCTTTTTGTTTTATTTTTGGGTCACTCCTGGCTGGACTCAGGGTTTACTCCTGGTTCTGCACTCAGGCATCACACCTGGCGTGGCTCAGGAAAGAATATGGGTTGGGGGGGGGGGTGCGCCAGAGATTGGACCCAGCCCAGGTAAGCCATGTGCAATGCAAACCCCTACCCACTGTAATACTATCTCTCCAGACGCCATCTCCTCATTTAAAGTCACCACCGGTGGGGGCTGGAGCGATAACACAGCAGGTAGGGCATTTGCCTTGCACACAGCCAACCCGGGTTCAATTCCCAGCAACCCATATGGTCCCCCCAAGCACCTCCAGGATTAATTCCTGAGTGCAGAGCCAGGAGTAACCCCTGAGCATCGTTGGATGTGACCCGAAAAAAATTTTAAATAAATAAATAAATAATGTCACCCCAGATTTATTCCGATTCTGGAGGTCCCATGATGAAACTTCCAGAAAACTAACATGGCAGAGAACCTTCCCCCCCCCAAAAAAAACTCCTGGGGTGCACCAGCCTGTGTTTCTGTTGGCACATCATCTGCTCCTGGGTTCCAAGTTGATGGGCTGTGGGAGCAAACCCCCCGCCCCCGCTCTGCTGTCCTACTTGGGCAAGCTGCCATCCTCAGACTAATTTCCACGGGACGGTGTGGGGTTGACATAGTGGGGTGGGTGATGCGCTCAGAATATCAACATCTCCTGAGGCAAGGTCACAAGGAACCCCTCCTTGTATTTTTTTGGGGGGATGGGGGGGACACCTGGCAGTGCTCAGGGCTTCCGCCTCGCTCTGCACTCAAGAATCACTCCTGGTCGGGCTGGAGCAACAGCACAGCGGGTAGGGTGTTTGCCTTGCACGTGGCTGACCTGGGTTCCATTCCCAGCATCCCATATGGTCCCCTGAGCACCACCAGGGGTAATTCCTGACTGCAGAGCCAGGAGTAACCCCTGGGTGTGACCCAAAAAAAAGAATCACTCCATCACTCCTGGCAGTGCTCAATAGACCCTATGGAATGCCAGAGACCAAACTCCAGGTCAGCCAAGTACAAGGCAAATGCCCTCCCAGTTGTCGTCAGCCTCTGGACCCCCTCCTGATCTGGCTCAGGACTCCCTGCTCCTCCTCCCTGCAGCAGCTCATGACTCATTGTCCTGCCACCCACTCTGAACCTTCCCCCCATACCACAGCCCCCCCACCCCACTACTCACCATCAGCCCCAGCGGCGTCAGCCACTTACGCAGGGTGGTTATTAAAAGGAGCAGAGAACATCCAAGCATACTCCACTCCTCCTCCTGCTAGCGGGCCAGCGGGGGCAACTTGGAGCCAGGCGGGCCCAGTCCAGGAAACTTTTTTTTTTTTTTTGAAATTTTGGTTTGCCACACAGCAATGCTCAGGGCTGACTCCTGGCTCTGCATTCAGGGATCACTCCAGGCGGTGCTAGGGGGACGCTACGGGGTGCCAGGGATTGAAGGGGGGAGGGGTGGTCGCGGTATAAGGCAAATGCCCTCCCCTCTGTCCTATGGCTCCGACCGACCTGGCCCTATGCTCCCCCCGTTTTTCATGAAATTCTTGGCCAAGACAGCTGAGCTGCCCCAAGGAGAATGGAAAAGGAGGGCCCAAGTGGGCCGGAAAATTCCCGGCCTCTGCCCATCTTCTCTGGTTAACCCTGTCTGCCTTCCTCCAGTTACCCTCGACAGACCGTGGGTCCAGAATTCCCATCACGGTGGGCACCGGTACCTCCCCGTAGGTGCCAGGTAGTACCCGCCCAGGGCCCTGCCTCGGCACTAGGGTTCCCACGTCACCTCTGTCCCCAACCTGGGCTTCCCGTGTGTCCTGCGTGTGCATCTGCGCCCCAGTATGCAACCGTGACTGTGATTCCACGTGGTGGTGGTGTGGGGGGGGTTGCTCAAAGCGCCGGCCACGCGACGCGGCCACCTAGTTCCGTGCGAGCCGGGACCCGCCACCCTCCCCCGAGTGCAAACACTAGAGGGCGCTGCGGCCCCGCCGTCCCCAGCGCGGGTGCCAGGTCCCGCCCGTCGCCCGCAGCCCGGGTCCCGCGTGGGAAGGGGCTCCCAGGCCTCTCCCCCGCGCCGTGACCCGACCGCCGGGGGGGGCGTGGCAGGGAAGGCGGGGTGGGGGGGTGGGCTCAAAATAGCCCGGGAGCGCAGGCGAGCTGCTATTCGTGGCCGGGGCGCGCAGGGCTCGCCGCCTGCCTGGCGGGCACCGGGATTAGCCCGGAGGTGGCACATTCACGAACTCCCACCCCAGACGGCGGCCACGAAGCGGGCGCGCGTCTCCCGCACCTCGAACCCACCGCAGCTGCACCCCCACCCCCCCGACTCTGCACCCGCCTGGCGTCGCCGTGGGGACAGAGGCGGGGGCCCCTGGATCCCGCACCGCCCCCTCCGCCCTCCCCGCGGGGCCGGGCCCGCCGGACGCCGGGTCCTCCCCCGACCCGGGCTAATGACCGGGCGGGTGGCGGTAATGAGCGTCTGGGCCTGGGACGGGCGTGGCCGGGATGAAAGGAGCAGGGAGGGGGGCGTGGGGGGCGGGAGGGACCCCGGGGCCGCGTAATTATTCGCCCCCTCCCAGCCGTCCAGGCGGGGGGGCCCCGGAAGGTGCACCTGGCGGCCGGCCGCCCCGACGGGGCGGTCTAGGAACGGGACCACCAGCCAGCCCAAGCGCGCCAGCCTGGCCCAGATCCGCGGGGCACAGAGCCAGGGTGGGGGCAGCCGAGACGGCATCTGTGTGTGTGTGTACGCGCGCGTTGCCAGGTGTGGTGCACATGTGTGCCCGTGGGCAGGGCACTCGTGGGTACAGAGCCGGAGCAACAAGGCCTCCCGGGGACGCCTGGCTTGTCCGGACACGAAGGTGGGGCCTCGTGCGTGCATGCGTGCATGCGTGTGTGCGCGCTGGGAACCCACACGGTTCTGCTCTGTGCGCGCAGCGGGGTGGGCGCTGACATCCACGCACGCACGCGCCCCGCAGTGGAACGTTTGCAGGGCGGCTCGGCGCTGAGCAGAGCTGGGATGTCGATGTGGGGGCAGCTGGGGACAGGGCTGGGCGTGCAGAACTCGGGTGGGCCCAAGCTCCCTCCTGGCGCAATTGTCCCCATGTTGCGGGCATGACTCATGCCTCTGGGGTGGGCACGCAGACTGTGTCAAGGGTGGCTGAGGGGGCCTCCCGAAGGCGACAGGGGACCAGAAGCAGGAGGGGTGTGTGCATGTGTGTGTGTGTGTGGGGGGGGACTAAATTAATGCCCCTCTGTACAAAGAGCAGCGGTTCTTGAGTGTCCTCGGAGGCCACCGGGTGGCTGTCCCCTTTGGGGACATTTAGCTGATGGCAAGGGGGAGCCACGTGGAGGCGGGGCTTTGGCTCCCCCTTTTCCTCC